GGCAGTCTTAGCAGTTCAGAGAGACCAAACACCATGTGAACACCATGTGTCATTTCCGTACAATCAGTTTTTGTAATTCACATGTTATCAACTTGTTGTTTTGAAACATCATTTCAAGTTCAGTATATCATTTCGAATAATTAAAGTTCCCATGCAATTGTTAAATATATATATATATATATATATATTAATGAATGAATTCGAGTATTTTGTTCGTTATTTTTATGAAAAAAATTTACTAATTTACTTTAATTTTAAAATCAGAAAATTTTTCCATTTTAAATATTGTGTTCCCAATTTTTACTTTGCGAATGCAGGATGGTCAGTGAATTAAAATGTAAATGCCCGCAGGTGCAATTGAGTTACTTTTTTTCTGGAGAATCCAAATGTATAGTAAAAAAAAGAAAAACCCCTTTAAAGATTTCTGAAGTGGCCCTCCCCACAAGAGTTGAGGACGTATGCCAAATTCGCCCGATTTGATTGCATCTTTTCAAATATTTGATAAGTATTTTTAGATTTCTCATCCAAGAAGTATTTTTCAAGATATTTTTCATACTTTTTGGACACCCTGAGAAAAAATATTGAAAAGTAACATGAAAAGAAATATTAACACTTTAACATTTAAGACTTTTTTTTTACTGATTTGATATTTGCTCATTCACCCAAACTTATGAAGAAGTGAGTGTTTACTACAACATATGGTTTATATTACCATGTCCAGCTGAAGAACTCACAGCAAAAGTTAGAGAAAGGCATAAAAAAAAGATGATTACAGAGTTACAGTTGGGTTCGAACCCACTACCTTCACGTTAGAGAACGGATCAGTGCATTGCATTTGTAAAACACTTATATAAAACGTACTTTTTCGAAAAAAAAAGTGGTAGAGTGTAACGACTTTTGTTAACTTGGAAATTTATAATGTAACTACAGTAATGAAAGCACGTCGAGTGGTCCAACAAAATTATTATAGTAGTATATAAATTTTGCCTCCAATTATATTCATTGTTTTGAAAAGTTTTTATAAACCCATTCCTGGTCACCACTGTAATTCCACAACTGAAACACATGTATCAAGTTATGTTATGGAAGAGTTGAACATTTATATCATTTTAGTAGTTGCTTAATCAGATGAATTTTCACTGTGCCCTATGGTTGCTAGGATTTCAGTAAAGTATTTTTGTTTAAATTGGAAGAATATTAAACAACAAAATTTACATAAATCTTTATATTTGAAAAAACTTTAAAAACTCATTAAATCCATGAATGGAGATAAGTGACATATGTATGTTTAAGTAATTCATCTTTAGTGATGGGTAAGATTCTTGTTAAATTTACTAAACCAAAAAATCAATTACTAAAACATAAAAATCGCTTCTGTTGGACGAATTTTTCTTACATAGAAAAGTAAATTGGCATATCTGTGATTCCCTTTTTTTTAATGACGTAAATGTTTAATTTCAGATTGAAATAGTATATTATTACTGTTCGCGCATGTGCGACTGCCGCGCCACCCTTTTTTGTGAAAGATTTATATATACCTTGAGAACTTCATAAATGGCGGACGTAGTCCGTGTGTCTTGAAAAATAAAGTACTACAGTCCATTGAAGACCAGTGTTCTTCTTATTTACGAAATAAACTTAGAGCTATCGACTAGAGTGACCACAAACATGTGGTCCAGTCACCCGGAAGCGAATTAGTGATTTATGGAAATCATTTAAAGTGCATACCGAAACGAACGAACTATGTGTACGATGCTCNTAATGTGCTATCAATTTATTAAAACATTCGCAGAAAGTGGAGCTGTTGGTATTCTTAGTTGTTTATTGAGATGATATAGCCCCCTGATCGTAATCCAAAACTTTATTATCGCTTACAACGTCGCATATTTCTCCATGCTTGGTAAGAGAATAATTTATTTTATCGGAAAACATCCTTTGTGAAGGAAGTCTGTCATGTGTAAAGTGGGCGGATCTTGATCTTACCCGATTCTACTATCCGAACGATCTAGTACAGATTTTGGGCGGAGATGAATGGTGAATTCAACACCAATATTAAGAAATTTATGACATATATTACTCAGTCATCTTCATTTCATACTACAGACGAGTAGGACAACCGAGCGCTAATTTGTGTGTCAACTCCAACTATTTCGATGATGCCCATATTACAGGAATGCCAACTGCTCCGGACACGTCAAAATAATTTAAGAAACGGTAAATAACTTAAACTAAAATTTGCTAATATTTGAGTAATTTTGCTTACTTTTTTGAAGGGTTAGCATGATTTGACTATAACAAAGTTGCGAATTATATAAGCCTTCGAATTATTTAGAAATAGTGGTGGATAAAAACCTAATGAATTGAATTTAGTAAACCAAGAATCACAATAAATAAACTACCACTCGAAAATATTCTACTTCGAATTATTTAGAAATAGTGGTGGATAAAAACCTAATGAATTGAATTTAGTAAACCAAGAATCACAATAAATAAACTACCACTCGAAAATATTTATTCGCTGTCTGGAGCAAGTTGGCATCTCTGATATTATTCAAAACAGAAAACTCTCAAAATATAATTTATTATAATAACTGGTAGTATCTGATCACATGCATTTTCCATTTCTTAGACCTTTAAGATTAACATTTAAACAACTTAATTACTGTGAAAAAAAGATATAGAAGACTTGAAAAATATTTTTGTTTTAATTACTGGTAAGATTGTTTCTGTACAATCATATACAAAAAATATATGTCTTTCTGTACAATCAAATGAGTTGGACTTCGAGTGCAGCGGTAAGCGTACTAATTATGATGAGGGGATAGCTGCAAGGATTACGGGCTCGCTAATTAAAAAAAGGTTTCGGGTTCAGTGTTGTGATAAAATTTTTAGAAAATTTATTAAGTGTTAAAGTTTACAGTATAATGTTTAAATGATAATGCATACCTGCCAACTTTTAATCCCTTCCATTATCATTTTTCCCAGTGGTATTAAAATGGAATTAAAACTTCAAGTTTAAGCAAACAAATACGCTGTATTTGAAAAACCTTAAGTTCACAACCATGATAGTAACGCATATTAGCATATGTGCTTAATTTTTGTAAGAATAGTGTTGATGAAAATCATTTAAAAATTAAGTTTGTAAAAGAAAAATAGTATATATTTACTACCACTTTAAATATAAAAATAAAATCTTCGGGAAAATCCGGAAGAATTGGCAGGTTTGCATTATATTTGAAAAAATTGTAAAAACTCATTAAATACGTTCATGGAGACAGGTGACATATGTATGTTTAAGTAATTCGTCTTTAGTGATGGTCAAGATTCTTCTTAAATTTACTGAACCATAAAATCAATTATTAAAACATAAAATTCGCTATCATTAGAATAATTTTTCTTTCATGGCGAAGCAAATTATCATATCTGTGATTACATTTTTTTAATAACGTAAATGTTTAATTTCAGATTGAAATAGTATATTATTACTGTNATTTCAGAAATTTTTTTTTTCAACATCAAATTAATTTGCGCCTTCAATCTTCGTTTTGAAAACTTACAACACATATAGATTTAACAACAAATTAAGAAAAACATTAAAAATATCTAACAAGTTTATTATAATAAGTGTTAAAGTTGAAATATGTCGTGTAAAAGTAACACACGTAACGAAAGAATCGCCCTATTACTAAAATATTTATGCAAGATGTTACTTAGATAATTAATAAATTTCGTTAATATTAATATATTTTCTTTGAATTAAATGAATTTTAATAATAAAAAAATTACTATTTATTTATTATTTTATTTATGATTATGATTAATTTTTTTTAAAATCAAGGTACACGATAGAAAATGAGAATTTCTTCACGTTCAATGTACTGACAAATATAAAAAGATGCTCGTAAAAAAAGCAGTAATAGAGCAGAGAAAAGAATAATAAAATTATTTGAAAAATAACTTTCGGATATTTATTTTAAACGCATAACTTTATTAGTCTTAATTTGTTTTAAACTTTTACGTTTAATAGTCTTTAACACTTTATCACAACATTTAAATTGAAAAAAACTAAATTCCTTTGACGCAGATGCTCACTGGAATCCTTTTTGTATATTTTTTCTTACGCTCTAATTACAAGCGAAAATATATTTCGGTATTTTTTAAATTGCAAAAAAAAATCAGTCTAATAATTTCAAAAAAATATGTTTATCTGAATTACATTTGTACTAAAATGTAAAATTCGAAAAAGTAGTTTTTTTTTTCATTCATACTCAAAAGTATATCAATAATTGTTTTTATAAATTAAAGAATTTCAATGCAAAATAATTGTGTAGCTTAGATCAAAATGTCTACTAATAAGAAAAAAAATCTAGAAATTATTGTTTGGATGTGAGTTATATTTAGAAGGTTTTACCTCTAACGAAGAAAAAGTACTTTTTAGTATTTTATAACCATAAAATATTAAAATGCTAAATATAATATTTTTCACCTATTTTATCCAAAATTAAAACAAAAAATTCAAAATAGTATTAAAAATTTGTTTAATAAAAACTCTGCTGTAAGGGATTAATGAAATGAATTTCTATCGCTTTTATTTATTATTTTTTATTTTTTTAGCTTACGTTGCATTTCTGCAATGGGTTAAACACTTTTCAGAGATTTCCACCACGAAGAACTCAGTTTTTACTTAATGAATATAATAATATTTATTAAATAAAGTAATAACATAATAATATTTATTAAGTAAAGTAAATTAAGTAATAACTTAAATAAATATTATAATATTTAAAGATTTTCCTCTCAAATAATTATTTTTGAAAGCATTATAGTATTGTTACCAAATTTAAATCTATATCAATGTTTATTTGTGCGTATAAAATATGCTACTAGATGGCACCAACGTGCCTTCAAAAGTTAAAAATTATGCATTGACTGATAATTTAAAAAGAAACTTTTCTTGAAGAGCGGTAATATTATCACTACAATTATCAGCAATCAGTTTCTTAATACCTGATAACAAAATATGTGTGTTTATTGAGTTCAAACATTGTTATCGTTAAATCTGTTTTCAGAAGGTAACATGAAATTAAACACAACGCATTATTCACTGCTAAACATTATATTTTAACTCAATTCAAGAATAAATTTTTCGGCTCGTGTTTTTCTTGTTTTTCGTATTAGCATAAGGGAATAAATATGAAGACGATAATTATTTCCATATTTCTTTTTATCCATTTCTTCGCGGTTGTGAAGGGTAAGGATGATATTACTTTAGAAGATGTCTCTATAGTTGTGAATGGAAGAAACGGAATCGCTCTGCTCAAAAATCAAAGTGCCGGTGAGAAAAATTTACTTCCTCCTCTGTGTAAGAACTTATTTAACTGACCAGTTTCAGGTAATTTTAAACCATATGGATCATTTAAATAATAGATAGTCTATAAAATAAGATAAATCCAAATTGTATGGCTTATTTACTTTAATTCGCAAAACGTTAAGCTTTTAACTCTTTAAGACACAGGTACTATTTTGAAAGTACTTACTTTTCTCGGATTAAAAGCTGTATTAAAAGCGGTACAAAGAACTTAATTTTTAAACTATGTTAGGGAATAAGACTCTTAATAAATGCAAAAAGCTAAAATGCAGGGCATGTAATAAGGATTTCTTATTATTCGACAGTAAATTAGCCAAATATTCGAAGTCTTCGCCAAAGACAAATCTCTACGATTTTTAATATATATTTTCTTTCCAGAGGAAAAAAATCATTCGCCAAATTTACGATATTATAATATTTGGCGAGGTAGCGAATGCTTATCTCGGGCCTAGCAAATGTCACACAGAAATGTGTTCGGCCATACGTGTTTCAAAAGACGTTAAAACTTTAAACATCTGATCAACTTAGACATGATTTGTATTCTTCTCGAACATATCAACCGGAACACTTTTGCCAAGTTAGATTTTGTTGAACATCTATTTTAACGATAGTTTACAATTTAATATTATGTCTACCGGAAAATATCCCATTAACTCGATGGTAATATTCTAGCTTAAAGAGACACAGTCCATATGGTGCAAATTAACATGTGCATCATACATGTTCAAACTTGTAACGAAAATATCCGGCAGAAGTAAGTGGTAGATCGGATGAGTATATTTAGGAATAAATGTCTTACCATTAAAAAAAATGGTTATCTTTTCATCCTCATGTAAAGGGGAGAGTATGGCGTGAAAGGGCGCCTGATAATATCACGTTATTTTTCTTCTGTTTACTTCGGCGAGGGAGCAAACCTTTCTTTGAAGTTACGGAGAGCCGTGAGGGACAAGGGTCCCTGTGTTAGGTCCCTTACTTCACCGTTATTTACATTTCAGTCTCATATTATGCACTGTCCATTACGTGTATATAGTTCAATTATTAAATATTATTTTGTATATAGATTTTTTTTCGATTTTGTCCCTCGCTATTTATCAGCCTTACTTTCGTATACAATTTTTTATTGTACATATCTTTCGTCATTCCTGTTATTATTATCATTTATTCTGACTAATTTTTACTGTTTTTGCTCATTATACTATAAACTGACTTATTCTTGTGGTTGCCTATTCATAGGAGACCTCAATTGTGGTCTTATTGGTATTTGTGATTGCACACCCCTTCTTCCTTCCTATTTTCCTCTAGACTGCTCAATTAATTTCGCCACTTATTTCTCGATCTATATCTCGGATAAATCGGTAAGTGCCGCCTTGCGCGACATACGCAGAAATTTTGCAATCATCGTGAAATAAAGGGGTGCATTCCTTCGCGGGTAGAATTAATAGAACGAGACTTGTAAGCATAGTAATTCGAACACCAACACTTCTATAGATGTATGGACCCATTTTTGTCAGTTGCAGTCAAACCTCACCCACAAATTAAGTGAGTTTCAGTCAGCATTTTCTGGAAATTCATTAACATACCTTTACCTAATTATATTGCACGCGATTTTCCTTAGCCTCCATTGTAGATTTTGATAGTGAATCGCGACATTCAGAGAATGTTCTTCTACCCGGTAACGGGTAATCCTAAATCATGGATAATATCACATAAGACACGTGACCAATTCCAATGGAGAGAAACGCAATTTTAACTAGTTTTGTGATTACAATTATAATTAAAGAAAGCGATGAAAACTTAATTTGAAATTATAGAATGATTATCAAGTCCAATACGGTTATCTAAATTGCTTATTTGTCGTGATGGTTAAAGTTGTTGTAAATCAAACTAACTAAATTTAAAATATATTTTAAAACAGAACTTCTTTTATTACTTTAAATATTGAAGCGCACGGAAACATGGAAAAAGTTGACGGAAAATGAATTAAGTAAGAAAGTGTTTGCGTAAAGGAATTTATTGAGCTTTGATGTTTTGAATAAAAATTAAGATTATTTACTAAGGAAAATACATTCAGAATAAAATTATTTTCACTTTTATTTCAATTGCTTTCTTACAGATAAAAATAGATTAAATAATTAATCTTTTAACTAGTCTACACTAGCGCCGGCTCATAGACCTAATATATACTTTTAAACTTATTCTATACCAGGCGTTATGTAAACAATATTTCTTTTAGCAGAAAATGTTTTGGAAGATTTTACATGGCAAAACTGTTCCCACAATTTGAACGACCATGTTACAGGCTTTAAGACATGTTAGCCATTTTCAGTCATATGAAATTCGGATGTGCCAAAATAAGTAAGGGACTTTGAAATGGTAAAATATCTGCATTTTTTAATCACTCTTTAGGACTACAGTATTAACATTCAGAAGGGTTTTTTTAAATTTTAGTGGTGAAAAAAATAAAATAAAAAGTCTTTAACTTCCATCTCACAGTTTGATCGATACAGATTTTGCATGATTGAAAAGGGCTTCATCTGTAAAAGCTTAATCCCTCAAATTGGGCCAACAATTTTGCGATTACACAAAGCTGGCATAGGAGTGCTCCGTAAGTTTCATGCAACCCCCCCCTCTCTCTCTT